TAATGTGTCCTTTGTTTCTGTAGGTCCATATTTGGCAAAATGAGTCTGGTATACAACCAAATGAAAGTTACACTTGAAAAACAGAGCGATGACAGGAAACCGCAGTTGAAGTAGCTGGTGAAATTTCACAAAAACTCCTAGGTGATATATATGCTATTTATGCTACAAATAGTATACTATAAATATATCACCTGTTATATCACCTGGGGGGGTCATGGTTTATCTGGTTTGGCATTTCATTCAAGAGAATATGCATTTCAAATTCTCTTTCCTGATATAAGAGAGTTATGGAGGTAGACATGGGAATCGTGACATATTCATAGTTGGTAAAAGTAGAATCTGCTGCAGGCCTCCTTCAACAAACTATGCAAATAATTGAGGCACACATGCAGAGATATAAATTAAAAAAGTTGTCTGTAATCTTCTCAAAATACAGTTGGGAGGAGAAAGAGAGAAAAATACTGTATTCATTTGCGAGTACTCAGGAGACATCCCACACTATGACAATGTAGTATTTTTAAATATATAGACAGGAAGGACTTTATTTTGGCTCCCATTGGATTTTTCCTTTCCTTAAGGTATTTTTATTTTTTTTGAACCTGTGGTTTCCTCACAGATTATATTCCCTTGCAGTTTGTTAAGTTTCACCCGAAAATGCACTGTGTTTGAACTGCAACTTCCTGGTATTGTGTATGCTAGAATTCTTTGATTGCTTTCAAAATCTGCCCCTATTTCTTTTTCCCTGGGGTGTGCTTTCCCTATAAACTGAAGTACCACATATTGCAAATGCTGATTTTTGTCAGGCATGAGAGATCACTCATCTCCTTTGTATTGCTGATGGCTAGTAAAATTTGGATAAGACATTTCCAGCAGGTTTGTCAGGGAAATCATTTGCAGTTTGCTCACCAATATTAAGCTTTATTCATGTAGATTTCTCAGTCCATGAACCATTTGAATAGCAGTCCCAGAAGAAAATAGTGCCTTTAATATTGAGGCCTTTGATCTCTTCTGCGTACTAATTATCAGTTTTGGCTTTTATTGTGTTATTCCTTTTGTTTCACGCTTGGATGTTTTTTTTTTTCTTTTTCTTTTCTTTTTTTTTTTTCTTTCTTTTTTCTTTTTTCTTTTTTTCATTTTAATTATTTTCCCTGCTACTTCATATTAATTTTTAGAAATCATGTGGCTAAAAAGTATTACATTGTTGTCATGCTATCTAACTTGCACATTATGTCTCAATATGGTATCTCAGTCTCTTTCCATTACGTCATTGTTATCCTGTTACATTTTTATTAGCTCTTGAAGATAGAGTCTTTTGTGTAAAAAAAATGTTATTTCACAAGTTATTCTTTCCATTTAGAGATAGACTACTTGAATGGTGGTCAGCATGTTGGAGGGTAGCTGGTTTCTTATTCCTTGTTCTTATTGCTATGGAATGATTTATAGATCCACATTTAAAAATCTACAGATTTTTTCCATTGTGTGAAGGAATTGCTACAACTACAGTTTCTGACCCTGTTATCCATATCATTTTCACCCATAGCAGTGAAATTTGAATATTTATATTGTTTAAAAGTTGGCTAAGGAAGGGAAAGCTCAGAGAAGGACTAGACATTTCAAGATGACCATGTACCAAAAAAGAAAGTCTTACCAGCCAAGAGTACAAGTAATTGCTGTGAAGAGACATGTATGTGAATCTACTGACCACTGGTGTTTGGGCAATAATCTGAGCATGTAAATGTTCAAAAGATATGCTAACCTGATAAAAATACTTCAGTCTCTTCGTCTGGAACTACAAGAAGGAAAGCAACAGAAAGTAATAGCATATCTTTCTTAATGCTAGAGAGCCTGGCCTTCCAGACTTGACTACCCTCAGATCCAGGGTGGTGCTAAGGAGAAGAAAAGAAAAGGCTGGATGCCAAGTGGGTAGTAGGAAGATAAGAAATGGAGTAACTTCCTGCTTTCCTTTAAAGAAAGACATAGGTTTGAGTGGAAGCATTTCTGCCCTTATTTCAGTCTTATTTCAGAGTAGGGTTCTGCTGTCATCATACCAGCTCTTGCTCAGTGCACTGCCTTGTGCTTATATACACCTATTAACAGTTTCCAGGCAAAACCCAGAGACTTATCTGAAGCCTCCTTTTGTTTACAGGTGAATCACAGTCTTTGGCTTTTCTCTTGCAGCTGAACTCCCTTGCAGGAGAGCGATCTTCAACAACATTTTGTAGTTGTTTCATGTTAGCTGCAAAGCTGTCACCTACCAGTTTAACAGCTCAGTGGCCTCATTAAATGCATTCCAAAATTGATTTTCTTTTCTCTGCTGTGTGTTTCTTTAGTCCGGTAGATATCATGCTAAATCAGATCAATTCCAGTGTACTGCATCAGGTAAAATAACTAGGGAATAAAAGGCCCCTCTTCTGTCATTATAAGCAATTTGGTCGCATGTGTTGCCCTTTTCCCCTTAATGTTCAGCTATGACTCTAATAGCTGAAGTGGTTGTTTCTTTAACAAAATAATTAAGGTGGTTTTAGTTTCTTTCTGCAATTCAGTTTTCTATTGTCTCTTCACACTGAATGGCTGCTCTCAACTGGGAAATTCTTCTCTCAGTATCTCCCTAGAGTTCTGCAGATACCAGAGTCTTGTTTTGAAATCTACTCTCAGAGACTGTATTTTGAAGGGAAAAGGTGGGAATACTTTGGAAATTCTTTTGTTTTAAAGAAATCAGCTTTATAGCTCAAAAGCCACCTTAATTCTTTCTAAAATGCATGCAAACGTGTTTGAAGACATAGTAGATATTCTTGTTGTATGTCAGTGTTATGGTCTGCCATAAATTTTAATGAAAACTTTCCAGATATGGTAACTCAAGTGAACTGTGATGAATTTAAAATGCTCCTTTCCTGCTCGTCAAAGGCTAACATAAGGAAAAAACAAAACAAAACAAAACATGACACTACAGAAAACCGAAGTATAGCCTTTGTTTTTGAATATTTTTTATATTCTTTATAGCTTCATTTTATGATGTTCATTTTCTTGATTCTGTTTTCTATACTTTGTCTTCCCGTATAATTAACAATATCCTTTTGATATTTGATATTGAGAAAAAGTAAATTTTGAACAGTAACAATCCGCTCCCACACCTTTTCATTAGCTGTGATATTCAGACATGAATTTTGGAGGCGGATCTATACCTATGTGTGTTTATACCTGTATGAGTTGCATATCATACTTCTGATGAAATAGATTTTCTGCTACTAATAGAGAACGTGACTGAGATATAACCAAAGCATCTGCAATCCTTTCTACCTCAGTAGTTTTTCCCTGAGTGGGACTGTCATAATACTTGTTTCCCTATGCTTCTTGTTTTCCCATAAAAAAGGACAGTTACTAACTGTGCATGCCTGAGAAAATTTGGTAACGAACAATAATATGAACAAGACATTACTTTTCCCTTCACAAACCTTACCTCATGCAGCCAGCTGAGAACACTAAATGTATGTTGGGTAATTGGCTTCCCTGCATCCAATGTTTTTAATTGCCTGAATATACAATCAACTCAAGGTACATTTCTTGTGCTCTAATGAATTTTAATGTAGAGGTTTATTTCCAGATGGATCAGCGTTGAAACAGCTCTTCAGCTTCTTATAAATATGATTTAGATTAACACATTGATACCAAAACCTTACCACCCAAGAAATTAAATATAGAATTTATTACGTAATTGTGTGACTAGTTTATCTATGGACATCAAAATAGCTTTTGGAAAAAAAAATGCATCACTCTCTAGAGTACACTATGGCACTAGAGGAGCATTAATGCAGGAAATCTTGTACTTACGGAAAGTTTGAGATATGTCATTTCAGGGGGAAAAGAATCTTCTATAATTTTTAATTCACTCTTTGCATTTATTTGTGACTTGAAAACCAAGGAAATGAAGCTCTTCTTTCCTGACACAGCATGTTGGAGTAGATACATCTATATGAATGCAATATGAGGACATTTTACAGTATGTCATTTCTCAACTGAAAAAGTCATACCTACTTGTACTCTAAGAGTGAATGCGCCACAGTTCATAGAGTATATCTGAACATTTAATTAATGTTGCTGCCAGAGTAAATATGCAGCAGTTTTGACATACCTCTGCAATCCATATTTATAGAGGATATAGGAATAAATTAGTAGTACCTTAGATATTGTTTGGGTTTGCACCTGCCTCTGATGAAGCTGTGACTTTGACTATGTCATTTGACTTCTACATGTAGTGGTAGTCTCACTCGTAAACAGACGTAATAGTGGTTTTCTCTGGCACAGAAATTATGAAATAATGGAGATAATGTTTTTAGAGCAAATGAGCTCATGTGGAGAAATGATTTCTTTACAGGATTTAAGAAAGATGATGCACATATTTGCTGTGACACTTTGGGCTCTGTTCATCATTCTATCCCATGTTGACCTGCTCTATGAATTTGATTCTAAGAGTCAAGTGACTTAAGCCTTACTATGCCTTTGATCTACACAATAAAACAATAATGATTGTGTATAGTCATCTTTGTCAAAAGCGTTTGTACCTGTGTATGCAAGGAGCTCATTGAGTGCTAATCTGTACCATACATAAGTTTTTGTAATTGAAGACTATGCCACTTTCTCTTTTGTCTCCAGCCTGAGTAACTGGGAGTGAATAGTTATGGTAATCAGAATTGCAGTCTACAATATAATGTAGCTAAATTAATGTCTCTAATGTAGATACATTTTGACTCCATAATAGTCTGTAATATTTCAACTAACATTTCAGCAAATGATCTCAAGTCAGAGGGGTCTCTGATGCTAGAGTTAGTTCCTGTCTGTTCTGTAGAACTGTTCAAGATTTTAAGGTGTGATAGTGGCTTACATTCAGACTAGAAGGTCACATTTTAGTTAACTGTCATATAGAGGCTGCCTCTGGTAACCATGCATCATTTCTATATTATTGTAAATGTGTATGTGATACTATTGCTTATGCTGTATTTCAGGAAAAGCAGAGATTTCTGACAGATGTTCTACATGAAGTGATGTTGCTAGACGGTTTGACCAGTTCACATCCAGTATCCCAGGAGGTGCAGCAAGCCACAGACATTGACAGGGTGTTTGACTGGATTGCATATAAAAAGGTGGGACTAATTAAACTTATCTATTTCTATGAGATTTATCACTACTATTAGAAGATTATGTTCTGTCTGTAGAACAAATGCTCAAGAATACTTTCATAATTGTTACTAGGTGGTAAACTTTAATTTGTGTGGAATATGTTTGTGATATACTACAGCATGTCACTACAGTAATTTTATCCCATGACATTCAACATAACAGGGTTAATGTTCTTTTAATTACTGTTCATTTTGTGGCAGTGTCTGAAAAGTGTTAAATGCTTTAAAAGCAAAAGGATACATAGTCTTTACCCTTTTGAAACTCTCAAGAAGATTTCTCAAGTACTGAATTTAATATTTTTTTCCTTTTTTTTTTTTTTTTTTGATATATGAGATGTTTTTTTCTATCAACCAATGAAAACTCAGGTCATTGCAGAAGAGCAAGAGCAGAGGAACGGAATTCTGTTGTGGAGAAGGAATATGTATTAATTCAGGCAATTTCAAATTGCATTTTAGTGATAGGAATGATTCAGCCAACTTTGGGACTTCCATGGAAGAGTGGGAGTAATGTATAATTCCACCTTCTTCATGATAGGGCTTGCTGTTAGCCTATGACCCAAAAACTGGAGGTTTCCATCACACCACATTATTCTTTGCTTTGTGGTGCGGTGTCCAGTACTGTGCTTTAATTTCATGACTAAATGTGCTTGATGCCTGATGCATATGTTGTTTCCTGCAGCTTTCCACTAGGAAGGTTGTACTGGAACTCTCTGCTCCAGACAATAAGTCTTTTGACTGTTACCCTTGTACTGGATAATATTTTCCTTCTGCACCATTAGCTGCCTAGCATCAGACTGAAACAAGACAGCTGCAGCATAGCGCTGACTTGCCTGCTGAGCTTCCAGTTTATCTAGCAGATATTTAGGGCTAAAAGAGAGTGTATCCTCTCTTGCAGTGGCCATTTATTCCCATCAGCAACAAATTCAAGATGTTCGTCTTCTGTTAGAGGTTCTTATTCCTTTAGGGGTGGACAGATGAGAGCGTCTGTGTAAAAATGCTTAATAGGTATAGAATGTAATATTTGAACATAAAATACCTAGGAAAATATTCTAAAATACTGGAGTAGATCAAGAGCCCAAATAACATTTTCAATAAAATTTTTGCTGCCTTTGAAAATATTATTCTTGGTCAATTAAGTGATAATAAACAGCAGGTTTTTGATTATTGAAGTGTTCTCATTGTTTAAATATTTTAATCATGTCTGCTGGTGATAGCTGAACCTCAGCTGATTCAAAGGTTTATCTCACATAGTATCTTAATATCTCAAGCTAATGATTTTTTCTAATTAATACGATAATAGTAATATCACACAGTACTCGGTAATACTTAGCACTAATCTTTTCATCATATGAACGTTTTACAAACACAAAGAATTTTTTATTTACATTGAGATGATAAATAGGATTCTAAGACACATCTGTATACTGTTAGCTATTTTATACATGCCAATAGCATCACTGTGTTTTGCCTGTGAATTAGAGTACAATCTGCGCATTGTATCTGTCTGTTTATTTAAGGGTTCATTTTTACTGTAACAGTGGCCATGCTCAGTGGATGAAGTCAGCATTTCCAGTCAGCTTCTCTGATGGTTGGCTCTCCCAGAGCCCTGAGTGATGTTGAGTGAGTTCATATCAGGGCCTGTACCTGTAAATTTTAACTCGTTTATCTGATCTAGCAATCCAACCTGAGAAATAGCAATGAAAGAATTTACTTTTGCGCTTTCTAAGGGGGGGAGACTAAAACACTTTCAACCATAAATTCTTTTTTTGCTGTCTAATAAGTTATCTGCCTTTCTGTCAAGCCATTTATCCTTTTGTTTTGAATACAGTCTTTCATCAGAAGAAACTTTACCAGTGACTTCATAGCTGCTTTTTTCCCTGTTTCTGTACTTTCCTCTAAGCTTCTGTTTCCTTTTGAGAATAAGTTAGAACAAACTTAACGTTTTGTAGATCTTGCATTCTTGTTTCATTTCTGTGTAATCTTGTATGCAAGCATGCACAATTTGCACTTAAAATCAATTCGCTTGTTGATGAAATGAACTCTTTTATGAGATAGCTAGAACTTTTGCCTATCCTTCTAGCTCTCTAATCTCTGCCAATATCAATACTGTGACGAATAGTATGTTAATAAAATCTGAAATGTACCTTGTCGGGTGTTTGTTCAAATATTTTCCAGTGCCTCAAAGCCCTCCTTACACTGTGAGCCCTGAGCGAGGGATTTTATTGCTGGTATTTCATGGATGGCTTTTTAGTTGATTGCTGACTTATTTTTTAAATTACTGAAGAATACCAAGTTCTTGAGAATTTCTTGCTTTTGACTCTAGTAAACTTTTGGTCAGGACCATTAGTGAGGTCTTTTCTGCTGTCTTTATTAAAATGTTAATTTTTTTAGCAGTCTAGGACTACATGCAGTATCTTTTCTCAACCTTTTTTTTTTTTTTTTTTTTCATTCTCTTTTAATTTTTATTCAAAATATCCACCTGATATTCCCTGGGACCTTAGGTTGTCATGTGATCTCTTTTCTCTCTGTATCTTCTACCTGAAATTGAAATTGTGAAACTTTCTCCCATCTCATTTTTCTGCAGTGAAATGACAGTCATAGATTGTCATTGTCATTTCATTATCTTTACTGTCATCAATATGGCATAAATTAATTAGAAACCATTAAAATGCCTGTGTCTGCTAGACATTCAGCTGTCATTACTCTTCCTATACATTTCAGAAGTAACCATTGAGACTGTGATATTTAAATGCCTTGGAGCTGAATATACTTTTCATTTCCACTTTCTTGTCCCCAGTGGTTGCATGTGTTAAAAGGTTCATGACTAAACTCCCGAAATATGGTATTCAGGTAATCCCATTAGCAGAGAGAAACAGGCACTGCAGCACACAGTATTTCTACTTATGCTGTTGACAGTGGTGCTTGCCTCTTTCGAAAGCCAAACACTATCATAGCAGTCCTTCACGTAAAAGCATGTCATGTCATCTTCCACTAAGGCCACAAATGTGTAGAAATAAACAAGAAGCCATGATAGCACATTAATAAGCAAACAATAGTGGTAGATGATTCAAGGCTCTCAGTTCACATCAGAGTGTGGATATATTTTCCTAGTGCAGCTGGAAGTGAGTGAGTGTCCTCCCACAATGACAGGAAAAGTGGTTGTATCCCAAGTGCAGTGGGAAATATACGCTGTTGAACACACAAGTGGATCTGAGAATTATTAAATCAAGGCAAAAAGCGTGACAGCCTTTCCACACCAGAAATAACTGACAGCGGGAATCAGCCCTGGAAAGCTGCATCAACAGAGGAGAGAGTGCAGCAAGGATAACATGAGGAGCAACAATCAGCAAGGAAGAACCAGCTGTAATGAAACAGAGAAACAAGACGGCTGCATCACAGAGGGAGCAACCAGACCCAGAACAGTGTTAGAGAGATATCCCAGATAGAAGTAAAGAAGTCATACTGTACATGAGCAGTCACAGCCAGATAACAGAAGATGTGAAAGGGCACCAAATACAGTATAGAGAGTTAGATAATATCTGAAGTTGTTTCCATCATGCTTCTGAATGCTTTAAAGTGTGCTGGTTGCAGATCCTGGTAGCAATCAGAGCAGGCAAGTTCAGTAGGCTGGAGTGTAGCTATCAAAGCGTACGACCAGCAGAATATGTCTCGGCAAGCACAAGTACAATCAAAGCAAGGAAGGGTGTGGCTGGAATAGAGGAGAATATTCAGTTTTTCCTTCCTGTAAGCAAAACGAGTTTCTGTAGTGATACTGGCCCAGACTTTGCAACCCAAGTAATTATTTTCTAAACATTTGTCTGCATAATTTGTTTTTCATTGTAACTCTGTGCCGCTTCTTTAAAAAAGCTTTTTCCTGCTTTCTGCAACAGTCTGATGGAAGGAGGATGTATTTCTCATAGTTATAAAGGAAGGGGGAGGCAAACCCCCCAAGGCCAATGTTAGAAGGACTATACAACTAAAAATACACACAAAGAAAAATGATCAGTTTCCCGTTTGTCACAAGAAACAGTTCTGGCAAAAGAGGATTTAAGACACTGGATGTAGTGACTTGCTCTCTCTATAGTTCTCTCTGAAAATTCACAGTGCATCATGTTCTGCAAGAACAGTCAGTGCAAATGCTCTCTAAAATCTTCATTCTTTTTACTTCTTTTTGTCAGAACACTGGCCGGATCCTAATGCTGAAATAAACAAAAACCAAAACATCTATTTTGACCAGTGAAACCAATATTAGTATTAGTATGAAATCCACGCAATTTCATAAGTGTAAAGATATTGTGACAATCTTTTCCTAACAAAATGGTTGTGTGCAGTGACCACTTGAAAGTGAGAGCAGCTCATGAGTGAACACTGTAAGAAATACTAGAGAAACACTAACAACTAATAAAATAAAGTAAAGCTGATTATATTTTTAATTAATCACTTAACTAAGTCAGGAACGTTGAGATGACATCAGGCTAGCTAGTTAAAATTCTTACAATACATTTCAGGTCACTGCAACCCATTCCCTCTCTACAGTGTAAAGGTTTGTTCTTCCTGTCTAATTTAGCTGTGATGTCACCCGTGAATGTCATGAAGCTATCTGAGTGCATCTGATAGTGGTGTCTGTTCTTTGACTTGATAACACGGAAGGTCAGTGCTCAGATTGTAGAAGGTGCTTTCAAGATCCATTTGAGAGTAATGCATTTTATCAGAGGATGTATCTTATAATGAAAACAATTCCTGTTCAGATAAGAATGTTTTAGATCTTCACAGCTTCCGGTATGAAAGCCATTGGAACGTGAAGTTGGTGAAATTTTTAGGTTCAGAGCAGTCCCAAGCGTTCCTGACTTCAAGAATGCAGGAAATCCTGCTCCAGCCCATGGGGTGCTAGTGTATAAAGCCAAGCAGGTACATCTGATCACCTTCCTGACTCAAAACAGTCAGTAACATACTGCACTGCTAAA